CCTTCCTACAGTCAACAGACCCCCGCTGCATGCAGCAGATCCCCTACATGCAACAGACCCCCCTACATGCAGCATATACAGGCAAGCAGCGGATCCTCCTACAGGCAGCACATGCTGCTCTACATGTAGCAGGTCCTCCCTACAGGCATCATATTCCCCTACATGCCGTAAATTCCCCCTACATGCAGCACATCCCCCGTACAGGCATCAGATCCCCCTTACAGGCATACAATCCCCCTACATGCAGCAGATCCCCCCTACATGCAGCACATCCCTATACAGGCATCAGATCCCCCCTACATACAGCACATCCCTCTACAGGCATCGGATCCCCCTACATGCAGCACATCCCTCTATAGCACATATGTAAAACAGAAGGCCGAATCCGGCCTGCCAGCCATTTCATGTGGCCCTTGTACCTCTCTCATTTTTTAAAATGAAGCCAGCGCTGTAAACAGGCACCGGGGTTCACAGGAAGGCTGCCAAGGTCCAGAGCAAGGTCCCCACAGCCTTCCTGTGCATTGTGGCACCTGTTTACAGTGCTGGCCGAATATGTCCTCCCTCCTTCTGTGGATCCACACCGCCCTTACCTGCCGACTGACGAAGCAGGACACCTGGTGAGACTCCACAGCCCTAAGACTCCACACAGCCCAGCATAGACCCCGCACAGCCTACCTGAGAGTCTGCACAGCCCATCATAGAATCTGCACAGCACACCTGAGAGTCCGCACAGCCCATCATAGAATCTGCACAGCACACCAGAGACCCTGCATAGCCCACCACAGAACCTGCACGAGAGTCACCACAGTCCACCATAGACCTTGCACAGCCCACCAAAGAAACTGCACAGCCACCTGAGTGACCACACAGCCCACCTGAGAGTCCCCACATAGCCCACCACAGACCGCCCTCAGAGTCCGCACAGCCCAGCATAGAACCAGCACAGCACACCTGAGGGTCCACACAGCCCACCATAGAACCTACACAGCAATGCAAGAGTCCCACTATAGACCTCGCACAGCCATCTGAGAAACTGAGAAATTACCTTTTTATAACATTAACCTCCCTGGCGGTATGATTATGCAGGATTTTAACATGCCAAAGCGGTACATTGTTTTTCATGGCAATTTGTTGTTTTATATTGTAGGCCTGTAATTCTTAGTAAATCTAAGAAGGAATAACTCACCTAAATCTGTCCAAACAAGAGTCCAGTAGACATTCCGGGTATGATAAAGTTTGAAACACGAAATCATAAATTATAATAAATAATTATAAATGATTATAA